TTAAACCTCAAATTTATTTAATTACTCAAGAACATCCAAAATCTCTATTTTCTCAAATGAAGGTCCGATTTATACTAAACGGACTCCGATTCTTACTAAACTTTACGGTCTCAACTTAAATACCATATAGGACATGTATCGGGCTCCGAAACCAAACTACAGTCCCGATACCATTAAATTCCGAACACATTCCATTTTCAAAAACTCATATTTATTTAAGAAAACAATTTTCTTTAAAAATTTATTTCTCGGGCTTGGGACCTCGGAATTTGATTTCGGGTATACGGCCAAGTCCATATTTTCCTATGGACCCTTCGGGACTGTCAAATCATAATTCCGGGTCCGTTTACCCAAAATGTTGACCGAGGTCAACTCAAATTCATTTTAAAAGTAATATTCATCATTTTCCACAAAAATTTCACAAAAATAGCTTTTCGGATACATGCCCGGGTTGCACACGCACATCGAGGTAAGACTGAAAGAGGTTAATAGGGCCTTGGAATACGGAATTCACTTGCAATACAAGTGATGACCTTTTGGGTCATCACATAGGGGTGATCCCGTGTGGTAGTGTTTGCGCCTAATGGTGATGCTAATTTAGACGAGGAGACTGTATCCCCCTTGGGCGTGGAGTTGGTGCCCATTCCTAGCCTAGGGGAGTCTGCCATGGTAGGGGCAGAGCTCAGAAGCTGCTGCGATCAGTCCGAATGGTCCGTCGACTTTACAACAGGCCCGTGCTCCTTTTGTGACCATCGAGAGGGAAAAAGGCGTGGTAATAGATGACTATGAGTTCAGTTCATATATTGACCCTGAGGACATAAACATGTTTGAGGCGGGGTTCACTCGAGTTGAAGCAGGAATGGACAGTTCCTCCCGCGCGATCGAAATTTCTTCAGATTACGATTTGTTGGAGGGCACGGTGAGCCTGGTGCCCCAATTTGCCCTTCTTTGTTCCACTACTGAAAGTAGGGCCCTTTAGGAGATCAGTGATGCTGGTCTGTCATGGGGCGTAGCCGGGATAACTTTGAGGGTGAGGACTTTATTGCTTTCTTTGTTTTACGTCTTACAGTCTTGCTAACTTTTTCTTTCTGTTCTATTTTCTTTCTTCAAACTTTCATTTTGGAGACTGAGAGTATCCACCGCGAGGTGAGGCAGACTGTCGCTTTTCAGAAGATGGTTTCAAAGTACTGCTGATATCGTGACAAATGTCACGAGATACATGCACGACTCAAGGCGGGCGGCAATCTTAAGTCCCTTAGGGAGGAGTTTGAGCGGAAGGACGAGGACCTGATACGGTCCATTGGCAGATGAAACGAACTAGAGGGGCTGCTTAGGGCTAAAGAAGAAGAGCTCAATGTGGGCAAGGGGATTGTGGCTGAGTGTGTTGATCTTCAGGTGAAGGTGGTGGCCTGCGGGCGGAGCTTGAGCAGAGTGCCACCAGAGTCGCTGGTCTAAGTGTTGAATTGGCGGAGAAGGTGACCGAGTTGGAAAGGAAGGCGACCGAGCTGGAGAGGGCAAGGGGAGCCCGAGTAGCGGCCTTGGCGAGGGTTGCGACACTAGAAAATTCTATCCGCGTCCTCATGTATGAACGAGCAACTGAGATGGAGCCACTCTGAGGGAAGCACAGGTTGATAGGCGAATTGGTGGGCTTGAGGGAGATGTCTTGAGCCTGGGTGATCAAATTGTTGCTTTCGAGGCTGAGAGGGCGTGATTGTTGGCTTCGACTCCTTCTCTTTCGTCCGCATCCGTTGACGTTTCTCGCCCTTTGTACGATATGTAGATCCACGCTGAGGCTCAGCGGGATATATGTAAGGGCTTGTTGATAGTGGGGAATGTTCCTGAAGCCGCTTTCGAAGAAGTTTGTGTTAAAGTGCGTGAGGCCCGAATTGCCTGCGGCTATGACCCCGCGACACCAGAGGCCGGTGGAAATGATGAAGCCGAGGACGAGTTTACCTTTGATGATGAACATTCTGATGGAGAGGGTGACGATGGATGTGAAGTCGCTGAACCAAGCGGGGAGAGAGATGACATAATGGATGGAGATAATGCTAAGTGAAGCTTTTATACTTAATTTTTCCTCCTGTACTTAGTTTTTCAGTACTTAGTTAGTTGGGTGGGCCCCCACTTGGCCTTTTGTAAAACGCTATTTTTCCTTTGAATGGAACAATTGATTTATCTTTGATTGTACGTCTTTGGCCTTTCCTTTTTTTTTTGAATTTCTTGGATCTTCTCACAACAAATCCCTGACTTTTGGTAGTTAATTCGAGTGGGGTCGAATGTAGCTTGTTAATTCGAGCGAGGTTGAATTTAACTTGTTAACTCGAGCGAGGTCGAATTTGACTCGTTAATTCAAGCGAGGTCGAGTTTGACTCGTTAATTCGAGCGAGGTCGAGTTTTACTCGTTAATTCGAGTGAGGTCGAATTTGACTCGCTAATTCAAGCTGGGTTGAATTTGGTTCGCTAATTCGAGAGGGGTTGAATTTGGCTTGCTAATTCGAGCGGGGTCGAATTTGACTTGTTAATTCGAGGGGGTTCGAATTTGACTTGCTAATTCGAGTGAGGTAGAATTTGTCTTGTCGTAAATTCGATCGAGGTCGAATTTGTCTTGTTGTAAATTCGAGAGAGGCCGAATTTAACTCTTAATGAATTCGAGCGAGGCCAAATGTACATTTCCTGTGTTGGCGTGATGTGAACTTGGTGGAGTTACGTCAGAATTCCGTATGCTGCTTCGCTTACTCATTTATTGGAGAATACTACATGTTGATGTACGATCCGTACATACATTCGAGGAGTCTGGTCTATCTAGTCCCTTCATCGCTCGACCTGGAGAGGTAGTTGATAGGCTGACGATGAATGTATTGCTCAAGCTTCAGGATGTCTTAATATATGTACGAATCGAATTTTAGCTATTTATGTCGTTGCATAGTGACTTTGGCGAGCCCGTGAGTGAGTTTCACACATTTGTGTTCTATCTGCATGTTGGAGAGGTTCGTATGTTTTCCCAGCTGGTCAGTCTGTATAGACTTTTCCTTTATGGTGTTGAGTACCAACTTATTTGATGGGGGGGGGAGGGTTCGCTCGACCGTCGCTTGCAGGATGATATGGTGCGAGGCATTTTCTTGGTGTGCTATTTTGATGGTATTTGTTCCCTGTTCACGTGTCTGTGAGGATGCCTCTGTTCCTGTCCCACTCTGAAAAGAAATAGCAAGTTAAAGCCGAACGAATCGTTTGTTACCTCAATTGGTTGGTTGATGGGTGGAAGGGAGCGACCATGTTCCCTTATTTGGCTATGCTTCATAGATCCTATCATTGGTTGAGATGATATCTATCGAACTCGGATGACATCTTGTGGGTCGTTGGCTTGGTGTTTTTGCCATCTCCGCTACTTGAGTCTGGAAAGTCCCTTTGATTTGATTTGCAATGAATTGAGAGTGCCAGTTTCAGATCCGATCTCAGCCTTACACTTAGCTTTAGCGTTAGTCGAATCTGGGCACCTTGTGGGCTGATGACTTACTTCGCCCGTTTTCGAGTTCAAGTCCCAATCCGATTCAGTCCCGAGTGCATGAAGATACGAAAACATAATCCACACCGCAAACATATAGGCGGGAATGAGTTTTGTCATTTCAAGGAATTACACAACAGGTTATTATTCCTTTCTGAGAGGGAGAAGGTTGTATGCGCAAGGTATAGATTGGTAACATGATGACGGGATTATGGACGTGCAAAATACGTGACGGCCACAGTCCTAGTTCGACAGCTTGCATTCACAACGTGCCGAAACTATAACTATGTCGAACCGTAGTTTTCGTATATATATCAGACATAATTTCGATTTTATGATTCTAGATTAAAAGTTGGTTTGGTTATTTCAAGATCTTGCCTACGAATTCCTCAAATTTGTGTTCATAGCGAAATGATGAAGTTACAACGAACGGGAAGTAGAATTAGAACCCAGTTTAGATCTAGAGGAAACTAAAACTTTGGCTAGGAAATCCCCACAGACGACGCCAAATTGTTTGACCAAAAAGTTTTAACCCTTTTTGTTCACTAATTAAATAAGAAGATATGGGGTAAATCCTAGCCTAGAGATAATTTATTCTAGATCTGAGATAGAAGATATGAATAAACAAGCATAGCTGAACGTAAAATTTGATTACAATCGCGATTGGAATCCATAATGTAAGAAAAGGAAGATGGCTCCAAAAATATCAAATGATAACGAAGAATACATAAAGGAAAAGAGTCACCATTTTTGAACAAAATAGACATTCGTACATTTGATAAGTTGAACTACATACGACTACGAGGATCGTGAGATTTGTCTCTCCCTTTTGGCGAAGAGCCTGAAAGGATGGAACATCTTCTCCTTCAGAGATGTATATGTATATATGTGTTCCTATCAGCCCCCTTTCTGTTACTCTCTCTCATGATATTTATACAAAACGCTTTCCTTACCCAGCGGTCCTTAACCGGAATACCTAAGTTTTTGGAATATCCTGTAGAGTATTCCTCTAAAATGTCTAAGTGTTGAATTAGCCGTTCGGGCCGAACTGAGTGCTCGACCTCGACCGTAGTTGAGTCATTCACTGGTATATTGCTTCCTGTACGTGACTTCGGCTTGGTTGACTCCTGGTCGTTTTTCCTTAAATAGAATTCTTTCGATCAAATTTTGACCTATACAAATACCATACTAAAATATCGATTAAATCAACACCAAAATACCAAATTAATTCAATCCGATTCGAAATTCAATTTTTCGGATTTTATGCGCAAAAACCATAATGGGTCCTGTTGGTCCAAACGTATACGCCAGAAGGAAAAAAAGAAAAGAAAAGAAAAGAGAAGGAGAGAGAAAAAAAAAAAAAAAAAA